ACTGTGACATTTAAATGCCTTCAGATATTATTAAAGGATGGGATGAACCAAATTTAGGGAGATGTCAGGGTGCTGTAGGGGAAGAGATAAGAAAGGGTTGAATTGCAACAAATCAGGAGAATGAAGAAGGAAAGGGAAGTAATTTTGCTTTCTAAAACCTTTCTATTTCCTCTGGAAATAAATGACAGTGTAGAGTAGGGATTAAGACACTGGAGACAAAGTACCTGGATAGAAATTTTGTCTCTGCTTCTTTCTAGCACTGTGACTTTGGATTAGCTTTTCTACCCTCAATTCCTTCCTCCATAATTTGCTTCATAGGGCCATTTTTATTTTAAAGCATAAGGGTGCAAATAACAGAAAACGTATTAGTTGCTTAAATAATAAAGGCGTTTGATTATCGTAACTAGAAATCTTGGAGGTAGTAGATTCTAGTTTGGCTCAACAGCTTAAGATATGTGGCCACTGAGTGGCCATGTTGGTCTTTGGCTTCCCGCTCATGGTTTCAAGATGATTGCTATAGCTCCAGGTGTCCCCTCCTCAAATAACAGTATCCAAAAGGTAGACAGTAGTTGGAGAGACAGTTAGTGGCTTGGCAAGAGTTGCTAGAGAATTTGGTGACTTTCTCATATTTCAGGAAGGGAAATCTTTCCCTAAATTTCCATGTAATTTGTTCCCTTTATTGACTAGAATTAACGGAAGGGGGATTAGAAAACAAGCATCTTATATTTAGCTTGTCTAGAAGAACAAGTAAGAAAGAGTTTGAAATGGCAGCTGGGTAGCCAGCCAAGAGTAATGTCACTGTTGTTATAAGGATTATTACTGCTTAGCACCATGCCTGGTATAGATTTGATATTATTAGCAAATACTTATTACCTGATAATTATTACTGTTGTTGTTATAGCTACTCTGGACTGCACTGAAAAGAACAATTCCAATATAAGTTAAGGTTTTTCCATAGTAAAATATGCTACTTCCTAGCACTTACAATTTTTTAAAATAAATTATTTGCAAACACAATCATTACTATTATTATCTGTTTAGTATTATTTCCCTCATGCTTTTTAAAATCACACCCCACTCTCTTTTTGTGCAAATTGCTTATTTAGAGAATGAGTTTGTGCCTGTTTTCAGGACTGAATGTAAACAGTGGTTTTTCTAAAATATCAATTAAGATGAATAGAAATTTTTTCTTTTAATTATTTTTAAAATACTCTCAGGAATTAAGGTTGAATTTTGCCTCAGAGCTTTTAAACTTATAAACATTTTATTGCAGAAAACCTCTTGAGATAATACCTTGCCACACAGCCATTTCTATGTGGACAATTTAGCTAACAGGAATATTCATCTAATATGCTATTCCCATCAATTTAATCTTTGAGGACATTGCTTATTTCAGTTTCAACATGAATTGTGGAGAAAGAGGACAGAATTTTGGGAAGATAAAGTTGCATGTATTCAAGGAATCAAGTAAGAATACCAAAGAGGTAAACAAAACAAAACAAAATGAAAAGTAACCTCTAGAGAAGACAGAGAAGGATGAAAGTCAAACCTACAACCAAGTTTGTTATGCTAGCAAATTAAGAGACTCCCTTTAAATATACTAATCACAAGACTTCATATTATACATTATATACTAGTATAACTTGCAAAGTCAGGAGCCATGAGCAATAGTATTTTCATGTTTGTAAGTGGAAAAACAATCACATTTTAAAAATCAATTTTTATATTGGAGCAAACAGAAATATACATGACTATTTGCAATGTATGTCATCAATATACTGAAGTGATCAGTGGGCCAGTTAGAGAAATTGGCCCCTGGAAAATCACATGTAATCTGCACCTAATAGTTGAAATATTGGGAAAATGGAACTGTAATCCTATAATCCAAACCTATTGTATGTGTCTGTTATAATCTATTTTGTTTTTAAACAAAACAAGTCTTATTGAGATATAATTTACATACCATAAACTTTACCCACTTAAAGCATACAATTCAGTGGTTGGTCCTATTGTTTTTAACTGAAGCAAACAAACTGAAAAAAGACAGATAAGGCTTAGAAAATGCTGATTTTCAATTAGAAGCTCACATCAATATTGAAAAATCAACTGTAGGACAGTTTTTTTCATTTAAAATCTGAACACAAAATAAAAGTATATTTGAGCACTGCATTGTTCTCAGTTTCCTTAGTTCTGACATCCTAAGTGTGTACAGAGATCACCCACCTGTGAACAGAAAATCACTAGCTTTTCTCCTCAGGAGCCTGGGGGCAAATATAAAACACAGAGAGAGAAAGCTGAGTGGAGGCTGATGGGAAGAAGACCTTTGATGTGGAATAGGTTTGTGAGTTTGAGAAAGGAAATTTTATTGCCATGCATCATTTTTTTTCTTGATTTCTAATATTCCTGTCCCCAAAGCGCCAATATCTATTTCTAATTGCAAAATTCCATAAACATATTTTAAACTGTTTAATGTAAAAATATTAATTTCCTAAAAAAACAAAACAAAACAAAAAATACTGGAAATGTATCACCCAACCCTCAATCTTCCTTTTGGATATTTTGCAGAGTTCTTGAATCTTTTGCATATGCATCCTTTAAGAGACATATCAAAATATAGAGCTGTTGAGGATTACAGCTCAAAGTCATGTAATTTTCCATTTGGAAAATTGAAGAAAAATAAGATAAGAACCATATTTTTTAAGAAAAAAAAAGATTAAAACAATTGGAATTGCTCAGCCAATTTACCAAAGTTTTATGTTGGCACAATTACCAAATATATTGTTTATAATCCCACTAATCTTTAAAACTCAGTTATCATTTCTTCATGGTCACTGTGTTATGCTCAGATGAGCTTATCTTAAGTATTTACTTAAGTACTTAAGGTAATCTGTTCATTTNTTGGAGAGGATGGAGCCCTGTAGCCTAACTAAAAGCAAATCCTTGCAGTCTGATGAATACTACTCTGCAGTACAGTATGAGGAAACCCATACTGCCTTCGTAGTCTCCCACCTTTCTCTTTACCCCGTTTATTAAATTCACAGTAACTCATAAGAATCATTCAGGTTTAATCTGTCTTGCTTGATTTCATTACCCAGTACTATAGGTATGCACATGTGTGCTTACTTAGTGGAAGTTATCAGTGGGTTTCCCTCTCAACACTAGCACATGATGCCTAGGAGACAAATCATAGTATCAGGGACTTAGTGTGCACCAGGCACTCTTCTAAGTGCTTCACTGATCTTAGCTCATTAGTCTTTGTGACAATCTTAGGTATGTGAGTTTAGTTTTATCTTTGTTTTACAGATAAGGACCCTAAGGTACACCATAGGTGAGTAAATTTCCCAAGGCTGGTGTCAGAGTTGGAATTTGAACCATGCAGCCTGATTTCAGAATTCATAGTGTTAACTGCTACATCAATGTCATACCAAAGAGAGAATCTGAGAGACATGCTGAGCATTTCTTCTTCAAGGTCTTTTACCTCAACCCTTATATAGGGTTAAATCACCAGAAAATGGCAGCAGTGGCTTTATTGCTGTGGTCCCCTTAATTATGAAAGAAATGGGAGAGAAGAGAAAGCTTTGTCTTTGTAGGCTGGTAGACTGGTTTCAATCGTAATGTGACTTAGGCCTTTTACTAATGTCTCAAATCCTCAGTTACTTAATTTGTGTAATGGGGATATGACATCTAATTCACAAGGTGGTTGCTGACATGAACTTAATGTAATACACTTAGAGTACCTAGCTCAGTGCCTGACAGGTACCCATTAGCTGTTATTATTTGAAAGCTACCTTTAATCCTTTGTGGAAATAAAATGGTGACAGAAAATGAACTTACTGTGTGTGGAGTCTATTAAAGTGATATTGTTTAATAGAAGATAATTGGTTGCATACATTTTATTATACAAGGCAAGCCGATGGTCTGGATTCCACCCACAGACTAGATTTTCCGCAACAGTGTCCTTTAATCTGGGACCCAGGGCCATTGTGAGGGAAACAGTGTTGTAATGCAGTGTGTCAGGTGTTTATTACTCTCAGGGAGGACCCACGGTGTCCCAAATCCTGTATTACAGCAGGGTCCTTGTATGTCACATCTGCTCTGTCCTCTCCCCACTCTACAGCAGAAAGCATTGTAGTTATGGATCTGGGATTTACCAGTCTCTTCAAGTTAATTAGAAATAGAAAATCAGTACAGTCATAGGGAGGGAAAATGAGTAAGATGGAAATACTCTAAAGATGTGGAAATTCTCCTGGGCAGCCATTGGTCCACAGTAACCACCGAGGTCTGATGTCTGCAGGGAGGGGGAGAGTTCAGAGGGAATTGTGACACGAACTCCCCTCTCTGCTCTACCTCCCCCCCCCACCTCCGAACTTTACCACGCTAAGTAAAATGATCCCATTTCTACCTTCAAATTGAAAAGTTCTTTATTCTCTCACTACAGGATCTCTAAAGACTATATACGCCAACACAGCAACTCTCTCTTAAAGCCATTCCTTGGGAAATGGTGGGGGTGGGTATCCACACTTCAGGGAACTCCATCTTGTCTAGAAAGCATTCCACGTGGCACTTCAAGGGTTAAACCTTTGCTGCAGAGAAAGTATCAGGGAGCTTTCCAGGAGGGAATAACCTCCAATTTAGAAACTGCCATTTCTAAAAGGTAAGCCAAATATACACTAATTTACACTGCTTTCTATGAAAGGAATAACTCGCCGCTCCCAGTGTGTGTGTGAGTTTGTTTCTCTTTCTGCCGGCTGCTTGGCTACAGTCTGTATGTATATGTATATATCAGGGTGAGAACCACCAATAAATACTGTTAATAAAAACCCCAGAACACGAGAGATCCCTTTTTACTACAGATCCATTTGACAATCACTCTCCATTTGTTATGTCACATAAATCAAAAGGGAAGTGTTTATCTTATCATTCGGAGGCATCCCTTCTCCCTCTGTGTACTAGCCCCTCCCCCTGTGCTAGTTTCCAGCCCCTCAAAGATGCTTTGTGCAAGAAAGTGCAAGTTCCCCATTCTGGCTTTACCGGTGTTCCCTTTTCTTCTCCTCCTGGCTCCCCCACAAAAGCCATCGAGCAGAGCAAATGGCCCGGGTTCTCCCCCCAATGCCTGACCTGCGTTTACTGGGGGGAGAGGGGAGAGGGAGCGCGCCTTCCGAGCAGGCTGCTCTGACTCCGACCACAGGCTGTTTCGTGCAGGCTGTCCCTCTCCTTCAAAACCGTGCATCCCCTCCCTGAAGCAGCAGGCAGTGTGCCTCCTTTCAGCCACATTTGGTATGCATGAGCACGGCTGCAGACTGAGGGGAGGTGGCTCTCTCAAGAAGCTTCAGTGGCTCAGGCAGTGCCACTTGACTAGTCTCCCAAGTTCCAGAAAGCCTCTGCCGTGATGGAATTTGCAGGTGTGGAGATGACCATGGGATGCCAGGGCCGTGGGGGACCCTGTATTTTCTAGGCATTGCTCAGGCTGGCAGTTTCTGGTTTCCCCGGTGGAATTCTGAAGGGGTCATGAATCAAACTGATGCTCCTCGACCCCTAAACTGGACCATCCGGAAGCTGTGCCATGCAGCCTTTCTCCCATCTGTCAGACTCCTTAAGGTACTGTAACTTGCCGCTTTGAATGACTCTAATTGTGCTTTGCAGGTGTAAATGCCCAACTTCCGCACTTGGGCCAGGGTGCACATTTTGGGGAGCACACATGCATGCAGTACGGGCTCTGTAGCCCATGGCTTGAGACACCTTGTCAGCTCTCCTCACCCCATGGCGTTAGGGAGGGCAGGATGGTCTGAGCCACATTTGAGAATGAATGAGATTATGGTCGCAGAGAATGGGCTTCCTGACTGCTCCCCCCAACATCCCTAAATAGAATTAATTAACTTCTTTGGGAGGGTGGGAGCGGTAGTGGGAGTGAAATCGTTTACTCCTGTGTGTTTAGCTCCAGGGATTTTTTTTTTCCCTCCCTGGGGAATCCCTTCGACCCACTTTCCCTTTAAATGGAACCTGAGAGAACAAAGGATTCTCCTCATTATTTTAAAAACCCTGTGTCCTTAGGTGGTTGCTCAGGTAAAGACAAAGAAAGAACCTCATCGGACTGTGACTTTTTGGGTGTCCTTGCTTTGAAAAAAGGCATGATAATTTTAGGCTCCTAAGTGAAGTCAATAGTGGAAAAGTATTGTTAAATATAGATTGAGTGTATGCCTCGAGCTCTCTCTCTCTCTCTAGCTCCGAGTTACACAAAAGAATGAATAGTACCACACCTGAGCTANTATATATATATATATATATATATATATATATAGTTTTGATTTGCTTTAAAGAATGTTATTCTATCACTGGATAATGATATATTTTTTAAGACTTTATTGGGGAATTGGGAAAGGAGAACAGACAAGTTGCTATCCTCTTGTTCTTCAGTCTAGTTGTGGAGGACGTCACTTCACTGGCCCAAGTCGGCACCATCATTGCGCTCTTCCTACATGAGGCAGATCACTCTCCGGCCACTGGACGGCTGCTCACAGCAGCTCTTGGCAGCTCACGCTGGCTGCCAGCCGCTCATGGTAGCTTATGGGAGCCCACTGCAGCCTACACCATCACTGGCCTCTGGCGGAGGCCAGCTCCATGTTGAGCTGCTGTTCACCATCTTAGCTGTAGAGGGCGCAGTGTCACTGGCCCGCGTGTGGGATCCGAACTGGGGCCCTGTCACTCAGAGCTGGCGTCCCAAGCCAACTCTTAACCAATGCTCCACATGGCCAGCCCGATAATAATATTTTTAAAATTATTTTCTAAAGATCAGTTTGTTTGGCCTGGTTCTGTCACTATATTTTATGTGTGTACTCCTATTTATTTAGACAAAATTTATTGACTTTTCTCTATACGTGGTGTTTAAATTAGAATATTGCCACTCTCTCATTTGCCTTCCTCTCTCCTGTCTTTCCCTTCATGATATTGGGTTTTCACATTTTTGTTAGTCCTGATATTTTTATTTGTATCTTTGAATATACCTTTATTTGGTTTGTCAGCTATATATGATACCTTTGAATCCACAGCTCTGAAAAGATAAAAATATATTCACTACCATGTCCTACTTCTTTATTCAAGTTTTGGTAGTTATATTATTTCTACATTTTGTAGTTCTATTACCATAATGGGCACATTTTTTTTATCCTAAAATTATATGGCTTTAATAGCCACTGCCATTTGCTATTCTTATTCCATTTTCCTCTTATGCCAAAATTTATCCTCGGACTTTTCGGGACATTTCAAACTCTTTTAAGAAAATTGTCAAAAATGTTCAAAAGTGCTTTTCTGTGTCATTTATACTCAAATAATTGCTTAGCAGGGTGTGAAAGTCTTAGTTCATGCTTTCACTCTGCCATGTGCTAGTTACATACGCTGCTCTGGAAAATTCTGTGAATAATTGACAGAAGAAATAGAGGAGACTTGGAAAAAAAACAACATAAAAATCTTATATAAAGCCCATAAAAGTAAAGCATTACTGAACAACATCCAATACACCTCAGTTGTATCTGAAAGCATTATTGTAGTATATCACATGGTAACAGTATACATTACCGTATCCCAGGTGTTTAGAAAAATATAAATTACTTTTTATTATTTATAACAACCAAAGGTATATTTTGTTTAAGAAATTATAATAATTAAAGAAATAATATAATTTTTTAAAATTAAAGTTTATTGGGGGTGACAGTTGTTAGCAAAGTTACATAGATTTCAGGTATACAATTCTGTAATACATCATCTATATATCACATTGTGTGTTCACCACCCAGAGTGAGTTCTCCTCTTATCACCATATATTTGATCCCCTTTACCCTCATCTACCACACCCCCTCCGCCCTTACCCTCTGGTAACCACTGAACTATTGTCTATGTCTATGAGTTTGTTTGTTCATTTGTTTTTCTTGTTCTTTTGTTGTTTTCAGTTTTATAGACCACGTATCAGTGAAATAAATGGTTCTCAACTTTTTTTGTCTGACTTTTTTCGCTTAGCATAATAATCCCAAGAATCATCCATGTTGTTGCAAATGGCACTATTTCATCTTTTCTTATGGCAGAATATAAATGAATGGGACTATATCAAAATGTAATGTTTTTAACATTATCTGGTAAAAAAGTTTATTCTGTGAAATTTCTTATTTCCTAAGGAGTCAAGATAAAGGTGGTATTTCTGCTTCTAAAAGTTTTTATTTTCCCAGTGGAAGAACAAGCATATCATAATCACTTGAGAAGAATTTCAAACTTCAGGCAATTCTGTTCCACCACTCTCTGTCATCCCCATTGAAGAATCAGTCATTAAATACAAAACTAAATGGGGTAGTGAGAGGAAGGAGGGAACATTGTTGACTAGATTTTTCAAGGCAGTCTTCTTGATGAGGTAACTCTTGAGCTGGGTAGATTTTTGTCAAGGCAGAGAGGAGAGGCAGGATATTTCTAGATCCCTAAAAAGTGAAATGTTGGTCAGAAAGTGTCACATAATTAGTACCCCTTGTGAGGCCCCTGTTTATAGTGTTGCTGCTGCTTCCATCAGGTCTGAGATATGAGTTGTGCATAGGCAGCATTTTCTATCTGGGAAACCATAAATTATCAAGGGTGGCAGCCAATGAAGTTATTTTTTTGAGTCTGTTATGTGATTAGAGCACTTGAAACACTCTGAACTCTAAAATGCTATTTTAACCTTATTTCTATTCACACTAGAGGTTAGTTTAAAAGAATCACTGAGTCTGCAATCCTGATCTCTTGAGGGTTTCTGTCAAGTGTGGGCAATAGGATTTCAGAAAAACTCTGGGACAGAATTCCCTTATGAGGTGGAATATTGAACTTGGTTTCCATTAACCTCTTCCCAGCCAATAGAAATTTAATTGCCCTTAGTGTGTATGTGAGGGTGGCGTGGGAGACTGTTTATGACAAGTCTGTGTATTTCATTTTAATATTAAAGAGAAGTAGTTATTTGATTACTTGAATACAGTGATATTTTAGGTGGCTCCTGTATGGGATTTCTGTTCTAAAGGTCTATTTTTAACACTTACGAGATTTTAAAACAGGAGCAAATTAACCCCATGCTTTTCAATTCACTACAAAACCTTAAAGTCATTTCCAGCTTTTCTGTTTCCTAAGATATAGCTAGAGGTATATTACATGTTTTCATTATTTTATTTAACAAACATTTGTTGAGTATGATGAATTAGGGAAACACAGGTAAATAAGTTACTACCCATATATTCCAAGGTATCAATGAAAGAAAGCAATGGTCTACAGAGACCAAACTCATGGGAACTCAGGAAGTCCCCAGAACTGAATGGGAGCTCTGTGGGGTGTTTGGCATTTCCTGACCTTAGGGTTTATTAAGATCCATCTTCCTTCCCCCCCCCTCCCGTTTCTTCCTTCCCTTATTTCCCATCCTAGAAGGTATGAAATGGTATCGGCCTGTGGCCTCCCTGTGCATTTGGTTAATAGGTCAGGCCTGTGGCATGCCCCTCCCTCTATCCCTTTCCTTGTAAACCAGTTCTCACACAATACAACGAAAATTAAATACTTTGTTTTATTCTAGATGCAGCTTATCAAATGTTTATAACTGTGGGATTTGTAGACAGAAGGATTAGAGTCAAATTGCATCTCTGTGTGACGTTAGGCTCTTCTTTGATCTGTAAAATGAGAATGATGTGAAGGGTCCTTCTGAAGACTAAATGAGGCAATACAGGTAAAGGACTTAGCAAAGTGCTTGGCACATAGTAATGTGTATATGGTATATATTCCTCTCATAATTATTGTTAATAAGTTGTAAACTCCATAAGGACAGGAAGCAAGTTCATTCAATTTTTCTATCTGAGCATTTGAGACAGTGCTTTGCATGAGACAGTAATTTAACAAATGTTTGTTCAGTGAGGGAATATTAATAAATTATGCAAGGACACCAGCTGCTGAGATCTTCAGGAGAAAGCATGTCCTTTCAAGGTTCCAAGGACATGGGTGTTGTCTCATTTCCTACATCCAACAATACCATCTAAGGCACGTATAAGTCAGGTGCTGACTTTGAAAAGCCCAGATTTGGATGTTTGTTGTATCATTGTTTATAATTATGAAAGAAAAAAGTGCAAATGTTTATTAATAGGGAAATGATACATCTATTTCAATGGAATGATTTAGCATTTAAAAAGAGATGGATCAATATACTGATACTTTAAGGAGCACTACAACATATTGATAAACAAATGAAGCAAGATGCAAAAACATGCAACCATACATAAGATGATTCAGTTATTTTAAACCATATATAAAATAACTCTACATCTATCTATCTACCCATTTATTTATACACCTATATATTTACCCCTCTGTCTATGTTCCCTTTGTAAACAAGAAGAAAAAGTAATTCTGATGATACAAACTAAACTAATAAAAGTGAATATGGTGGGTGTTGGAGTGGGCAAGAGAAACTTTTGCTTTATCTGTAAATTATGATTGCACAAGGAGAATTCTTTAAGGAGTTTCTTGTTTTTAAACTCTAATATTAAACAAGAAATCCATGGATCTATCTTCTTGTTAAAAATATNTTTTATGCAGAATAAATGCTGTTTAAG